CCCCCATTAAAATGAGGGTGGGCTCCCTGCCCTTTGCATGCCAACCCCAGGGAGCCTCTGGGGTGAAGAGCTTCTGGCCTGGGGGGCACCTGGCCAGTGATTGGAGCCCAGCTCTTACCCTCCCCGCATCTTTCACCCTGGGCAACCTCCACTCTGCTTTTCTGGGGAAGGGGCGAAGGGGGCTTGGAAGACATCCTCCCCTGGAAGAGAAAGAGTCAAGAAGGGGATTAGGGGCTGCCCCCCCCGAGTTGCTGAAACCTCCAGCAGCTGCTGACTCAGAGCCTCCGGAGGGGATGCCCCCCATCCCATCCCCCAGGGGTTCCCCTTTTGGCCGGGCCTGGAAGCCTCGGCGCCGTGTGGGCTTCCTTCCTCCCCATCAGGCGCCGGCAGCCTTCCTCTTCCATTTGTGCAGCGCCAGGGTGCCCAGGGTGAGGACCTGCCCTTCCCTGTGGGTGGACCTCAGTGCCCATAGGTCCCAGCCACCATGGCCCTAGGAATCAGGCCCCAGAGGCCATCCAGCCCCGCTGCTGCTCAGCACACAGGTCCAAATGAAAACAGCCCGAGAGATGGGGGTCAGACTCCATTTGGGCACACACACAGACACACACGCAGCGCTCGGGGTCACTGGTTCCAGTGCCAGCTGCTCTTACTCTCAAGAAACCTCTTAGGGGAGCGAAAACTCCAATCCCCTCATGAGGAAGCAGCAACACCTCAGCCCCTCTGCCCTCCAGCAGCAAAATCCTTCCCACCACCCGCCTCCAAAAGAGGTACACAAGGAAAGATGGGGAGACCCCCTCCTTGGGCTATGGGGCTCTTTCACTCGGGGCCCCCTGGTCCTCGGGGGTGGGGTTCGAGTCAAGGACCTGGTACTGCGGGCAACGAGGAACCAGGCCCACCTCTTCTCCAGGGGGCCGGAAGGGCCTTCACGCAAGGCAGCGTCCACGCCGTGCGATGACGGCAGAGGCTGGCCGTTGCCCCTCCCCCCCCGTCTTTATAGGGAAAGCCAAGGGGGGGTTGTGCTGCAGGACCTTGTGCAGGGGCAGTCCATGGGCTGCCCCATCTCGGGAAAAGCCTTCTCTCAAGCCTTCCTGTTGAAGCCCGGGGGGGGAGGGCACGGGGGCTGGGGGAGTCTGCCTTTCTGGCAGATACTCCCCCCGCCACC